TATTACGCTCTTCATCTTTTCCTTCAGAGGCTTCCGTGGTCTCTTATCCCAGAAACCCTAGACAGTCGTATTGTGATAACCTAAATCGTGTTACTCATAGAGGTGTGAAATTTCCAGCAAAAAGCGCTTTCGTGGACTAATTCGGTTTTTCGAACTTCTTCCGTTTTGGAAGGAGTTGGCGTAAGGACAAGTCGGGGCGAAGTGGTGAGAATAAAGAGCCTGGGGAATCCCTTGATCACTGTTGTGAGCCGAGGGCAGCCCTATTTTTTCATCTTCCACAACAAAGCAATCCTGATGACGTATGGGTGACTGGTTTTCCTCAGGCTCATTATACCTTTGACTCACCCAGTTCTAGTGCCTCTTCAGTCATCTCCTGTGTTCCTGCAAGAGAAACTCCGAGCTAAAGGATAGAGGTCAGGGAGGCACTTAAGGACTTGAATCCCGGTCCACTTACCGCTGGGAGAAGAGAATCGACAAGGTGCTCGAACGCTGGCGTTGGTAGACGGGAGATGCTGCACACCTCTGACCCCCACAGCGATTTACTTTCAAAATATTTACAAAAGGAGTTGTGCTGAAAATTAATTTTCGGTTAATCTCATAGTCACCTCAGAGACAAAATGACAGTTTCGCTGCGTCGACCTCACACCGAAAAGAATTATCTCGTTCAGGACGAGCTCGATCTCTACCAGGTGGTCATCTACCTTGCACCTGGTAACTATCATGCTTTCCATTCACCTACACGATGGGTTGCGAAAATGTGTCGCCATGTACCTGGTAATCTTTCAAGAAATTCCTGAACTCTAGCAGCATTTTTTACCTCCTCCTTTACCATATGCTTTTAGGTCTGTTGCTGTCCGTACGTCCATCACTCCTCAGTCATGTGCCTCATCTTTTCTGCCTTAACGAGCGGGTAGTACTGAATGGCACGTGGAAGCACGGCTTTTTCTCCTTATCGGCCGTCGCTGCGACGAACGTCGGCGATATAGTCATCGATGCGGTATGAGCCTTTGATTGCTCTTGAATGTTACTGGGATTATCACTAATTGCTACACTTTTAGGAGCCGTCATTACGAACGAATTTAGTGCGACGAAAGAAGGACAAGATGCTGCATACGGAGGTGGATATGCATAGCGCTTATCTTCCTGGCGATAGAGTCGGCGAGTTCCGTCTGGGCTCCACTGTCGTCTTGGTGAGTTCGGCCATAAGCAGCTATCCGCTTTATAGTTGTTTTTATTTCTCTTGGAGTATTTCAAGTGTTGTTGTGAACCAATACTAGACCATCCGGCTGAGTGAGTGACATTTCCGGCCGTTGTCAATAATATCCTCAAGCAAAACAAAATATTTATCGGTGGGGGTTGTGAGTGGGGAAGAAGAAGACCGTAATAATCGAATCATCTGAGGTCATCTTTTTTTGTATGACACTACTATTAAAGCCCTGGTTGAGGTCTTGTCGAACAATCCATATTGTAGGTGGGATAGGGTAGCCGGCGAGTGTCACAGTTGTGCCGTTGTTGCGGCTCGAAAGTGCGCGACAATGGCGCTAGGGCCTTACAAAGTGAGCTATGACGACTAATGTGAGCTAATGGACGAGATACCTCGCGCACACCCCATGACACGCAACGTGGATTACGACGTAGCGGCTAATTCAAATACGCGAAGAGTGGAGCTATGGACAAGCAAGTTTAGACAACTCGTCCGACACGCTCCTCTTCTATTTCGAGAAGGGGGAGGGCAAAGGGAGTTCTTGTTGAGGGGCTTCATCGGCGGTTTGCTTTTTCATTTTTTAGTCTACTCGGCATTCACAGTTTCACTCCTATCACATCCGTATGACTCGGAGGAGGGGGTGAGGCTGAGACACCTCCAGGAGCCCGTCGCGCGGCAAGGCGGACTCAGCGGACGAGTTGCGGGCGAATCAGGGAAATCGCGTCAAGTTAATGGAATTTCCCATTGCAAGTCCTTCATCGCACATCACGCGCTGCGACTCGCCCGCCGACCCTGCCCTCTTGTCGCGCCTGGGGGCGCGGTACCGATCTGGATTTGTTGCTTCTAGTGTGACCTGAGAATGTTACAGTACAATGTGCTGGGGACTAAAGTATGTGTGCGCTGCCTTTGCAATATGAACGAGTGTTTCTCATAGTAAGCATACAGACCTCATCGCACACGAATCCTGTACGATTTCAAATTTATGTCGACTGCATGATGCATTTCTTAGGATTGGATTGATCCAAGCGATTAATCTTCAATACATGATAGTAACCTTTTTTATATGACCTCGGATTTAATGCTATCATGTTTTAGGTATTCCAAGGGCGGCCTCCGCCACGATCGATTGCCATCAAAGCCGGTGGTGATCCATTGACGTTTCGGAACAGAGGGTCTGGTTATTTACGTGTCGTTTAAGGCAGTAATTTGGGAGGCACTTTTGTTCAATAGTTTATTAGCATTCACTTTCCGCAGTAGTTAATTTTAGTCATTTTTCAAATGTATGTGTTTTTGTGGTGTACACCTGCCCGTATTTTTCTCTATCGTTTCTTATCTAATTTCCATCATTTCGACGTATGTGCCATGTTATTCTACTTACACATCTCGTTTTTTGTCGGTTTTATTATAGTTGATTTGACTCGTCTGAATTTCTGGTTCACTTTCGTCATGCTACAGAAGGTGCTCGTTTTGGCTTTTAACCCTGCCCTTCGTCGTTTCATCTTTCTCTCTACATGACGCACTGCAAACTTGCATAGCGATGCTTGCAGGGCATGTTGAAAGGTACCTCATCTCCGGTAGTTATTACCGAATGGCAGTTTCAGGCTTATTTTAACGTTGTGCGAAGATGAAGGCTGAACGCGCTGGTACAGGTGTCTCTATCGAAAGGGGGTCGGACATGTCCGTGTTATAGTTCCACCGATACGTAGTCATTGTGCTTTGACACTGGGTTTTATTGTTTGTTATTTAAGGTTGTGGCGAAAGAGCGGGTTTGGTGGAGTTGTGGTGCGAGAACACTCGCGCGCAACTTCGTACACTCAGCCGTGTTCTTTTAATGATTGCATCTAGGGTGTGTTGACGGAGCAAAGCTCAATACAGTGTGTAATTTTCTAGAGTTGCGACTAGCGCTTTTTAGAAGGCGTCATACTGCATTGGGTTTAAAACACTTCTGATGATGGAGAATTCATATTTACCGTGATTCATTCATTTGATTGAAATTCGACGAGTAGTGCGAAATGTCGTGCTACGATCACTATGTACAGTTGTGTGTGTATGAGCGTTCTCAGGCCATGTCATTGCCCTTGTTTATTATCTTTCCTTGAGAGATAAATGAATTAAAATTTGTGGAATTAAAGAACATTTTATGATGAAAAGGGGCAGTTTAGGTCATTTCGATAAATATGAGGATGGTGAGTGGAGCAGAAAGAAGGAAGAAACCATGAGAAACGGCCCGGAACCCGAGAAATGGGACCCTTCCTTGCCCGTTGATTTGCGCATTGATGCGACTCTCATCGCTGTGCCCTCTTCAACACTAACGCTCTCTCTGCTATCTAATCACTCGCCACGTATAGACCTGCGGCGAGTGATTAGATAGTCGGTGGGCGTTCCGCGCCAACTGCGCCAAGGAAGGCCATGCTAGATCGCCGAGGGCATATCCTTCGATGCCAATTGTGTGTTGGTCCGCACCCTTAGGGAGTCCGGCCTCTCCACTAAGGGCTTCTTCTTCGCCCTTCGTTCTTACCGTGGAATTCTCTTCCAAGGCACTTTATAGATGTCCAAAAAATGTGGTGGTAGTAGCTTCTTCGGGCACGTATACAAGTGTCCCGGGGAGGTTAAGTAAATCTCGCTTTCCGGTCAGCTTTCCAGTTTTTGAACACTTTCATATGATGCATAGCCAACATGATCATGGCGCAGTTGGAGCACTCGATCCTGCTCTTCTTGTTGGAATGGCAAAGGTAGTACTTGTTATCCGGCCATCCGACATCCTCTCCTCAGCAAATTCGGTTGTCGGGAAGCGGGTAGCCAGAGCTTACTTGGAGATTGTGTGTTTACCAGCTTTTGGAGGCTTGGTTCCAATTTTCAGTTGTTCGGATCCACCTTACAAAATTATCTTCGATCACTCCATGTTATCCCCTCCATTTTCATACTTTGTGTCAATTGAAAGCCTCAATGAAGTAGGGGATTGAAGAGCAGCGATCGTTAGAGGACTTTCGATCTATCAGCATTCCGTCGCGAAAAGCCCTCGGTTTGACGTTTCTCCCGAACTAACATTTGAATCGGGACCTTCATGGGATCTGGCGCGTAGCAGTTTTCCTCCTGAGGTCAGTTCGTCGCCGCAGGCGGCGATTTCGTGATGTGGACGTTTTGTATTCGTCCACGCTGTTGTCCACCGTTGCTGCCCTTTATTTTTGATTATTATGTGAGTAACTGCTATAAAGCACAAAGCTTCTGCCATGTCATGGTACCACTATTCCCCATAGAATCAAGATCAAGCATTCACTGAAAAGCTCTAACCTTCTAGTTTCTTCAGGGGGACAAGAACTGCAAAAAGTTCAATCTGAAGAAAGTTATAACAGTTCAAAGCCAAAAAACCAGCGCTCTGCCAAAAATCGGTCCGCGATTTCCCAAAACGGTCCAACGGGGCGATTTTTTGACTCCATCAATTTTGAAAGAGTTCAAGTATTCGTTAGAAAGCTCTAACCTTCTAGTTTATCCAGGGGGACAAGAATTGCAAAAGGTTGAATCTGAAGAAAGTTATAGTCATTGAAAGCCAAAAAACCCGGTTGTGCACAAAAAACGGTCCAACGGGGCGATTTTTTAAAGAAGTGAAACTTTACAAAAGTTTGAGTACCTTTTAGAGAGTATCTAGAGTTTGAAATTTTTTTACCACTTCTCACGCTTTCTTACTTGAGGAGAATTACGACCTTTCA